GACCAGGGAGGATGATTCAACCACTCAACTACTAGATGTCGCTGAAAACAACAAATCCTACACACTGTGCCTTTTAATTTTTAAACCTGTTATTTAAAGCAAATTTAAATGTTTATCTCATTTGTGAAAATTCAAGCTACTAACTGCATTTGAAAACGCTACTGTAGTGGTATCAGAAAGCAAATAAATGGAAAGTTTTGAATAAAAATTTAAATTTATTTAATTCTGAGGCTACTTTAGGGTTTAATGAAATAAGTAGCTTACTGCTAGTAAGCGCTAGCAGCTACTAGCTTAATTTGGTAACACTACTATAAACGTGGTGAGTTTGTTCTTCCTGCAGAGTTCATTTTATGACTAAATTTCCAGTAAACACGCACATAATATGTATTTTGATCTTTTGTTTTTAAATCATGGAGCCTATAATATAATAATGTTTCTGCTGGGAATGTAACATCAAGCCCATCAATTCTTCAACAGCTGATTATATTGTCTTCAAACAAATCAAGTGTTGAAAATTACACAGCGAATCTCACAAACGATATTTCTCTTACACACCATTGTCAGTTTTACATCATGTGTTTATTTTATTAATAGAAATGTGAAAATAATCCAGCTGGAAGTGCCAGCAGCTGCTGTCGGCACTGCAGATAACCACAAAATGTCATGTAAATCTCTAATGTGAGGGAGACATAATATGGAGTTTGCATGAACTGAATGAAAATGAAATTTTGGAAATTAAAGTTGTTTTAAAGATTCTCTGAATCTTTTGATGATATTATGGACAGGAAATGACATCACTAAGTTCCTCTCAATTGTGCGTTGAGAAATGTTTGTGCACACAGTTGTTCACAAAGTGGCAAACTCACCCCATCCTTGCTTGTGTACGACACCTGTTTCTAATTAACCTGTTCACCTGTGGAATGCTCCAAATACATTTTAAGCATTTCTCAACTTTCCCAGTCTGTTTGTATGTTTGAACAATAAACATTTTGTGTATTCAATGGAATATAGGTTTAAAAGGATTTCAAAATCACCTTATTCTGTTTTTTATTTATGTTTTACGCAACGTCCCAACTTCATTTGTATTGGAGTTGTAAATTATCTGTGAAACCTCAAACTGAAATTGTTCAAAAAGCTGATGCATCTGCAACAGGTACGATTACAGAAAGATTAGAATCAACAGCTCTTTAAAAATGTCTAAAATATCTTTACAAGGGACTGTTTCACATAGTGTTTGTGTTCTAGCATGTTATGAAGCAAACTTTAGGTTCAATGAAGTCAGAGTTGGATGATTCACCCTCCAAGGATTATTAACTTCCAAACAAACTGCTGTAAACCTTTCTTCCTTCAGTCGTTCACTACAAAAAATAAAGAAATATATACTCTGAACAAGTTATACTCTGCGGGGTAAATGATTTTTTTTTTCCTCAATAAATT